TGTCATGCAGAGGTCTACACTGTAGCCTGCCCTTTTTCAGTCGTTTCACACAGTGTCCCTTGTTGTTTCTGAGTTCGGGTCAATGGGCAAATCGGTCAGTGGGCAACTCGGTTTCCCCACAGACCAAGATGACCACTGTCGTGAAAAAAATAAGTTCATCCCGGAGCAATCAGTGGAAATGCAATTCCGCAGACATTTACGCGCACATCCACTTTCATCAAACGCGCGTCGAACACACACACACACACATCCACGCTCTCTGGGCTGAATCCCATTGACGCATTGCCTCTTCATCTGAGCGCAATTGCTTCGGCTGGCATTTGGTTTAAATACAATGTTGCGGCTCGCCATCACTTTTCTTTGGTCAGGATTCCCGGTATGGCTTCAATCAGTTCTATGGCAGCCATCATTTTTTCTTTGGAAACAAAGGCTCAGGCCTTGCTAAAGCAAGGCCTGAGTCCATTCCAGTCCAATTTGCCTTGGAAATCCTGGTGTCACTTTGTGCTTGCCACTCTCTCCGAGCCGGCCAGGAAATCATTTTTTGCGGCTTCACTTCTGGCACCCGCACTGGCCGTGTTCCAGAAGAACTGCTTTAGGCTCCTGGAGGACTAGGGATCAGTTTTCAGATGGTTCTTGTGCGAAAATAGGGAGACCCCCATTTTGGATGCCCTGTCCTTTTGGCATGCCTTAAAGCCATCCAAAAAGAAACATAGGCTCAAAGCACACACACACATACCCACACTTGCAGCATCAAGATGTATGTCAACACAGACAGCCTTCTGCTTGGCAGCGGAGTTTGCTTGCAGCGGTGTTTGCTCTGCCGACTTGCAACCTTGGAATGCGCTCCGCAGCCAGCCGTCACACTTGGAAGGCCGACCGGTCATCCAAGTCCGAGCGCCGCTGAGCAAATGCTTCGGTTGGCGACACTTGCCACGAAACATCCTCCTTTCAACGGCATGAAACAAAGACCAGCATCCTCCCCCCGCGCCCAACAACTGTGTTCCCATGTCCAAAACCCAAAGTACAGTCCACACAACAATGGATGGCGGGGGGCGGGGGTGCTGGGACTTCCGTTTCAATCTTGAGCAAGTGTTTGGCAAATGAACTTACTGGATTTCTCCTGTGGAACAGAATGCAACCATCAGCGAGCTTCAAACTTTCTGTGGAGAGTCCTTGAAGGAGCCTTTGGCTGAAGCTCCTTTCAAGCCTGATGAAGTGGGAAAGCTTCTTGACTGGAGAGGCATAGAACAGTGTTCGCCAAGATGTCGAGGATGCCGACGTTTTCGCGATGGATTTTGTTATTCTTAAGACATGACCTCACCAGATCGAATGGCACCCGGTTGCTTGTAAACTACTTCGGACACTATAGTGATCTTCAGATGCTGGACACTGTCCCAAAAATGATGATTTGTTCCCTTCGAGCCCCTTTCAAATCCCCTCCGGAAAGGGGTGCACTCAAACACAAGTATTCTGATCTCAGATTCCAGTCGACCAATGTTTGGGGGTTACTCCCTGCAGCTTGTTTGCCCGTCGCTGCAGGCTTTTGCAGCACTTCCGCATGAATATCGATGTGAACGGCAGCACTGCAGCAAAAAAGGCAAATTGCAAGATGAGGTTGTCGCACACGGCAGATAGTTGTGGGAAATACAAGGTTTGTTTGGCATTATCGACATGTTCTGTGGTACCAAGGAAGAGTAGGCTTGGGGCAGAAGTACAATTTTCCATGACAGCGAAATCATGCTCCCCTTGCAACGGGAGTTAGCCATGCAGCTGTGGAAGCCGTGCTGTCGATACAATGCTTGAACTTGAGCCCAGCTGTTGGAGTGATTTTGCCACTGGAACCCAAGTGTGAAGCTTCATGTGAAATGCATGGGGAGGAGAAGCCATAGGCAAAGGGCAAAGGGATCTGTTTAGCGCGTCGACATTCCGAATTCCAACGCTTGCTTCAGCCCCGGTGGCTGAGCTTGTTTCGTTCGCCAAGCACGTGCCCTGCCTCGGGAGCCAAGCACGCAGCCTGCATCGAGGTACTGGAGCAATCATCGCGTCTCCGGGAGCTACCCCTGCCTTGCCCCCATCTTGCGAGGGGGGCTACAAGTACCACTGGAAGCTGAGCTGTGAAGGGCAAAGGGACATTTCCCCTGGTAAACATCAGATTTGGACCCCAACATCAAATTTGGAGCCAAATGGGTCGCCTTTGTTTTTAGGGAACCCCGTTTTGGCCGGTGAAATGGATTCCAAAGAGACAACCAGCACTTTGCGCTCCTTCGAGCGGGGGGGGGGGGAATGTAGGGAGCCCTGGAATGGGTTGGAGCCTTCGTTTGCTTGCGGCCGAAAGAGGCTTTGTGCTGGGCACACTGTAACATTTGGTCACAAATCTGTCCCGTTTCTGGGTGCCGTTCCCGACGAGGAACATGGTGTTCCCCATTAAACATGGTGAACCGACCACACAAGGTCCCCCGTCCCGGGTGGTTAGCCTGAGCCGAGGACGCGAGATGGTGCCATCAGCATGTCCACGATGGTGCTGCTGGGCTTATTGCGGGCATTTGGCCATGGCTACTTTGGTTGGCGGTCCCCTTCTTTTTGTTGGTTTCAGCTCCAACCATGTAACCGTGTTGTTGTTTTTTTCTCGGAAAGGACACCTAGGGTGGCGCTTGGTGGTTGGTAAGGTAGGGCTGGTCATGAACGGGAGAAAAATGAAACCAGGATTCTGACAGGTCTAAAGATCCGTTCCATTGGCTTCAGTCGCAGCTGGAGATTCTGGGTTTGGTCTTCCAACCTTCCCTGATGCACAAACTCCTCGTAGCTGATGCTTTTTGGGTTTCATTCCCCGCTGGCGTGGATCTGATCCATCACTATGCTTAGACATAGGGCCTGGGATTATCGCAGCTGTGGCAATGTTGACCCCGGATTAGTAAACCCTTGTTTATTCATATGGGGGTGTCCCTTGTTGTGTGGTTTTTATCACATTTGGAGGGAATACCCCCATATTAATAAACAGGGGTGTACTAATCCGGGGTCAACATTATCCCATGTGTGAGGAGCTACGCTGAGGAAGTGGCAGATGCTCTTATGAATCATAAAAGCAGACCGAAGACAAAGCCAGCATCCATCCAACGAGGCCAGACAGACCATGAGATTTCGAGGTGTAAGAAAAAGCAAAACAAAAACTCGGACCGAGGCATGTACACAGAATACGTTGACGAGACCTCATTTTTTGGCTATGCCCGCAACATATGCGTCACCACAATGGTAACTCTCGTTTCCGTGCGCGTCTATTTGCGACACTCATGCTTGCCCCAGCCTTGTTTTTTTGTTTGTTTTGTGTGTGTGTGTTCGTTTCGTCTCTCACTTCCCAAGTTTCTGGACTTGCGATATTCTGCGGACCATTTTAGCAGACGAGTTTTCACACTTTCCACCGGAATGTGAGAGGTTCAGCTCCTGCTTTTCCGTGGCTCGCGGTGTTGGCGTGTTCCCCCCCCCCAAAAGAAAAAAGCAGTTTTCCCATTTTCCTCTTGTAGGGACCCTTTTTGTTAGTTGCCATGTTCGTGGGAGCCAGGGTTTTTGCGTGATGGGACCGAGGAAGTTGGGGGATGCCTTGGGCTTGCCGGAGTCGCACCTGGAGCAGCTCTCGCTGAGCTACGCGAACTGGGCGCCTCGCTTTCAAAGGGCGGGAGGGCGGGTCCTGTTCTTGACTGCTATTGGGTTGGATTTTTAGACTTTAATTCTTTGGGAAATAAAGGTGCTTTCCACTAAACCACCAACAAGTTGAAGACTTTTTGCAGGGGGGTCAACAGCAACCAGTGTTTTGGGGCTGGGTGAAAGGGAAACAGGGAAGACCAAACTCTGTTTTTGGGGGGTCCTGTTTTAAGACACCACCAAAAACCAGGGGTGCCACCCTGGTGCTTCCAGGCAAGCCACCATGGCTAGCTAGGATTTTACCCATGTTTTGCATGATGGCTTTTGCTTGGTCCCCTACAATATCATGCTAGAGTGGCAATTGGAGGCACTGGGTACCCAGGTAGACGAAGACAGGGCCTGAAAAATACCAGGGAGTGTTGGGTTCTACCTTGGTCAAAAAATGGAAGGGTAGGGTTGCAAAAAAAAAAGAGGTGTTCAGTTCCTTGAGGGGCCCAACCTTTGGGGTGAGCCTGGGCCCCCAAAGCCCTCAGGCTGTTTTGGGGTCCATTTTCAGCAAGTAAGTCCACAAAAGAAGACAGACCCATTGAGCGGGCAATGTTGAGGATGTCACTTTCGACTTGGCGGGAAAAGGGAGATTGGTAATCTCAATCACGAATTTAAGAACCTGGCGGGTTCTTCGGTCCGAGTTTTCCCCTCAGAAGTCCCCTCTAAAATGGGGCACGTGCTTATGAATCAACCAGGGGTTTGTTACTCGCGGGTTCTTCGGGAATCCCCAGAGCAAGTCACCGCAACCCACGCATCCAACAACGTTTGTGAAGACTTGATGTTTTTTGCTTTATGTTGCTAAGCAAAATGTGTTTCTTAGGTGTAGGTTTCTTCTTCTGCTTCTTCTTCTTGTTTCAAGCTTGCCAGGTGCAGAAGCTGCATGAAAATGGCACCACCGCGTTTCTGGAGCCGAAGTGGGTCATTGAGAAGGCGGGTTGGCCTTCTCCCCAGAACTGGCGCTGCCCCATCAACCCCATTTGGGGGGCTCGGCTTTTTTGGGGGGGCTCAACTTTTTTTTTTTAACCCCATGCATCGACTTTTTTGGAGGGAACCCCTTTTTGTTGTTTGGTTGAGGGAAACCAAACTGAAATCATCATTGAAAGGCTACCCGAAAACAAAAACGTCAGACACCCATTTTGTGAAGGGCGCAGCCCAAAACCTGCAGATGTTCCCCGTGGGCTGCGGAACTTGGCCTACCGACTTGGGCCCCTTGGAATGACTAGTTGGCCATTCGAGGTGTGGTTTGATTCAAAAGGAACACCACATATATACATATAGACATATAAGTATATATATATATATATGTATATGTCTATATATGTGTATATATGGTACCCCGTGAGCTTGAGCTGTGTTTCTCCTGTGTTGGTTATGCCTTTTGTGCCTCCTTGATGTTGTGGCAAGATATAATGTAAGCAAAGATGTCAACATCTGCCATTTGACAGAGTCTGCATCCATCTCAGAGTATTGGGACAACCCTGGATTGTTTTTAAGAATCTAGGGTTCAAGATTCAAGATTCAAGAATCTGAGAAAAAGTCTTTTTGGGAATCTTCAATCTTGAATCCAGAACTATGTATGTTAAAGGAAACAGATCCAGGGTTGTTCCAATGTTCTAGGTGTTCAATACACACTTCTGCAACCAAGTATGCGCACCCATTTGCAGCCATATGAATTTCTGCAAGTTCCCGCAAATTCTGGGTAAATAGGAGGACAAGATTAAGGGAAAATATTTCAATCTTGAATATTCAATCCAGTGGTACAATACTTTCTTGTTTTAGAACAACTTGTCATTTTTTAGGGCTGGCCCAACTTGAAAGTTTTTCGGGGTTGGCCAGGATTGATGATTCTCTGTACAATCTTCAATTGTGACTCCTTAATCCGTGGTAAAGCACTTTCAAGTGTTAGCAGAACCTGATTGTTGTTTGGGTTTGGCCATGATTGACGATTCTCAGGAAATATCTCTGTAATCTTCAATCTTGCATTTTCTATCCAGAGGTAAAAAACTTTCAAGTGCTTAGCCATCCAGTGGCACCGCTTTCAAGTTCTTAACTAGACAAACTTTCAAGTGCTATTGGTGAGTGGTTTGCTTCATGTAGCTATGCTCATGTTGACCCGTTTCCAAGAGGTAAAGGTAGGTGTATTGCTGAAAACACTGCATTTTACAGCATTTTATGAAGAGGCGCAGGATCATGAGGGGTTCTATGTGCTTGTATGCATGTGTATATACATATACTTATACATGTATATATATATATATTCACACCATCACCCCCTCCCTTCCCCGAACTACCTGTCCACCTCTGCTCATCTACTACCTCCGCCTGCTGAGGAGATAAATTATGATTCCTGCCCAAATAAGACTTTAAATGCAATTGATTTAGCTAGAATTCCTATTTTGAGGTAGTTTTTAGAATTTGAACCTCTCTTCCCTTGAAATGGCAATTCTGAAACACCGTCTAACAAGTTTGATGTCGGACCTTTCTTGTGCTACAAAAGGGCCAGAATGTAAATTAAAGGACCGTATAACCCCACATGCAAAGTTTTTGCAGAAAGTTTGTCAAGATTCATGGAAGAAAGGGCGCTAGCTGCGTGGTGAAGCAAACTAGCTGCGTGGAGAAGCAAAAGAAGCAAGAACAAATAAACAAGGGAACGAAGGAATGAATCAACCTGCTGCTGCGAACCCTTTCTTGTTGCGTGTTGTGTCAAGCAAGTCCCAGACATCTCGTGTCAAGATCAGCTGGATGCGCAAGAAGTAGCATTCAAAACAAGACCTCTTCTGGCTCCCATGTACGATGGGAGTGAGATGAGTGAGAGTTGAGATGAGTGAGATGAGTCGGAGTGAGATAGTGAGATGAGTGAGATGAGCGTGAGTGGAATGGGTGTGAGTGAGATGAGTGAGAATTGAGATGAGTGAGATGAGCCGGTGTGAGATGAACGTGATCAGTGTGGGTGAGATGAGTGTGAGTGAGATGAGTGAGAGTTGAGATGAGTGTGAGTGAGCGTGCGTGAGATGAGTGTGAGTGAGATGAATGTGAATGAGACAAATGAGAGTTGAGAGGAGTGTGAGTGAGATGAGTGAGAGTTGAGATGAGTGAGAGTTAATGTGTGTCATGGAGATGAGTGTGAGTGAGATGAGTGAGCGTCGCAGATCCAAAGTGCTGCGCCTGCCACGAAAACAGGGGGCTCACATAAGCACGCGCGACAACATCTAATCCCCTTAGAGCCTTCTCAAATGCTGCGCCTGCCACGAAATCCAGCACTCAGATGTCCCCTGTGCTGTGCCTCCATGAAATCGGTACTCGCATGTCCAAAATGCTGCCGCTGCCAGGAAACCAGGAGGCCCACACGAGCGCGCGCGACATCCATTCCCCTTTTTGCTGCCTTTGCCAAATCCAGCACTCCCGAGTGAGTGAGTGAGTACGAGCGCGCGCGACAACATCCAGCCTGCTCAGAGCCTCCGCAAGTGTAGATGCTTGGCGATTCTGCTGGATCTTGAGCTGGTGAGACCTTGCTAGGCTGTTCATGCGCGTTTGCTCCACACAGGCGGCTAGATCGAACATCCACCTTGCAGTTTGCTTCTTTTGGGCCGTCAGAACATTAAGGGAACCATCACCAACCCCTGCTGCTTGAACCAATTAATTTGTGAATGGGTTCTATATGGCTATGGCGTGATGGGAAGCCGACAGGCCTTTTTTTTGCCCTGCCCCCAAACAAACCCAAACCCCAAACCCGCAAACCCGCAAACCGCAAGCCCCCAAATCCAAATCCCTTCCCCCGCCCCCAAATCCCCAAACGCCCCAAACCCCCCAAACCCCCCAACCATAGGTGTCCTTTATGGTGGTTTTGGTAGAAGTAGATGGCCCTGGTTTACCTGGTGGTTTAATTTAATCATCTACTTCCCCTAAAAGGACACCTATCATCTTGAGCATTCATGAGCAGGGGGCAGTGCAGGTGCACCGCCCAGTTTAGTCTATGTTAGTGGAGATTGGGATGTTCACTGGGGATAGGGGATTTTGACCCATGGCCAAATCCCCAAACGCCCCAAACCCCCCAAGCCTCCCGAGGCGTCGCCCTATGAGCTCCCCTGGTGCAAGCCCCAGAGCGACGGCCCCCCGCTGCGCGCCCGCGTGCTGATGCAGATGGCCCGGCGCTTCCCCTCCAACGCAGGCCTGGGCTTCTTCTCAGCTTGGCGGTTCCAAAACTTCCATTTGCTTAAGATTTTTTTGTTATCCCCCTGTTGGCTTTAAAGGGAATCTATCACTGCTGGAAACATTGTTCTTTTTTCCAGGGGTCTGAACCAAATGGAACAGTTCCCCATTCTTTCCAGGGATCCTTCTTTTCAGGCTGAAAAGAATGGGGAATCAACCCCAGGAAAAAGCCGTCCGGTTCCTGAGGTTTTGAGTTGTTTGTAGTTTGTTTAGTGGTTGGGTGTCCGTGTGCCCACAAGTTAGTCACTTTCAGCAGGGGGTCAGTTTGGACAGCGCATTCCAATTTCGATTTCCTCTTTGGGTGTTCCCTTTTACGGTTTTCCTTTTTTGCAGATTTACATTATTTGTAACAATGGATAGCCAACAAATTTAGCAAACTGATTCATGAATTACCCATTGGGCCAGGTTTAACTGAGATTCGGGTTTTGAGTTAGAGGGAAGAAATCGGGAACCCTGTAAATGGGTGGTACAAGGGGGATTCTTGTTACAAGCTTTCCGCCCAGGAAAGTGAAGGTTGGCCGGGGCAGTCCCAACCGACAACAGGTGTTCGTTTCGACATCATTGTGATGGCTGTTTCCCATGGTTTGACTTTGACTATCTGATTTGGTAGGCACATGTAGGTGTTAGAAAGCTAGACTGGCAGAAATAGTTGGTGCACTGGATTTCCGGGGTTTGGTTGTCTTTGTAGTGAGTTTGCACTCCTCCTTCCTCACCATGTGTTTCTCAGGAACATGCCAAGATTGTCGGGCAACAGCTCATGTGGTCGCGTAGTTCTTCTTTCGTTTGCCTGCATGAACCTACGCTTGCGGATGCTGGCGGCCCGCACCCGCTAGGGTTTGGTCCGTGTTCAACACGCACACCAACATTGGACCCATAGCGTATCCATTTGCCCTGTGCAGTCGAGGTCAGAGCAGGTTGGAAGTTTCTACGGCCAGCATGAAGCTAAAGAGCACAATGTTTTGTCCATACACCCATGTCCGGTTCTGTCTTTTGGACAGGCAGTTTGTCCTTTGCAAGCTCTGAATCCGGGGGTTTCCTCGCCTCGTGTTTGCGCAAATATCCGGAACGAGCTCAGCCATGAAGGTCCGATTCAGGGGCCGCAGGGGCCGAGGTCGAATTGCAGCATCTTTGTTTGGTTCGACTATGAGCGCTAGACCCAGTTCCCACAGAGGTTCCCATTCAGCTTTGTGCAAGCCGTTTTGTTTTTGGGGTTTCCAAAGAAACTGGGGCATGTCTCCTGAGTCTAGTCGTACACAACAAGTGACCAGTGCCGTGTTTTCGGTTGCCCTCGATCCGATCGGTAGGCCTCTTCTGGGAGTTGGCCAGCAAGGACCTGGACTGGCTGGTTTCGAAGCCTGGAAGGAATTTGCGGATCGCGTAGGATAAATTTCCCCCGGAATGTTTGTTGGATGAAGGGGGGGAGTTTCTGGTTTGGAAGGAGTGGCTAAAACCGGCCAAAAATGGCCGCGATCCTTTTTGGATGATGGGGGGAATCTCTTCCAATGCGCTTGAAAAATGCGCTCGGTTTGGAAGGGGCGGCTCATTTTTTTTGTGGGATCGGATCCAACTGAAAGGATGTGACCCTTTGGCGCAAAGTGTCCTCTTTGGTTTCGGTTTGGCGTGTGCTTTTGCGGCTCGGTACCCTGGTTCTGGGTAGTTCGGGGAGCGAAAAGCAAAGCGCAAAGATTGAGGTGATTGCATGTCCCTTTTCAACCATTGGAAGCAAGCGTTATAAGGCAAAAGTAACTTGGACCTGCTTACCTGCTGTGCTGGCAAAACGCCTGGGATCCAGTGGGGTTGTTTATGTTGACTGGATTGTTGACGAGCTGCTACTGACAGAAACTAGGTATGTGTATTTCAAAACAATGGGTAGCGTTCAGGCCATGTCCGTCGGTGAAATCAACGCGGGCGTTGGCTGGGGGGTGCTTTCAATCGCCAAGGAAGACGGATGGCAAGCCCAACATTGAGATCACCACTTGCGATTTGTGGGCAGCTCGACTGAACAGTTTGCAGTTCGAATTCGCCGGGAGTGGTGGGCGGTTTAGCTCATGCCGCGTGCGACTGAAGAGGTGCCTAGGAAACCAGAGCATGTTGCTAGTTCCTCGTTTGGGAGTCTATTTTGACTCCCCTTTACCAACCAACCAACAGTGGTTTCCCACACCCATCTCAGCGAAGCTGCTTTGTATTGCGATGACCATGATGACCCAATAAGCTGTAAGAAACCCTCGGGAAGATGAACCTTTCAAGAGATTCGCTGAATGTGAAGCCCCCTTCGCCCAAATCTGTGGGCAACCCTCGAATCAGCGCAGGAAGAGACCACCGACTCAGACTTCTTCTGGAACCAAGCTGTGATGCGCGCGGCTTTGTTGGAAGGCATCGACTACAGCCGCAAGGCTGGTAGATGCAGCCAGCTTTCAGTTAAGCCTTGCTGTATATGCGTGTCTTTTTTGAAGCCTCCCCTTTTTGGGCTGTTTGAAAGGGAAACCAAAAGGGAAACCACATTTTTTGGGGGGTTCCCCAAATAAAGGGCAGACTATCTCGATTTGCCAATCGAGGGCGTGCGCACTGCCAGGTGGGTGACCAGGCACGAGGGCAAGCCTACAGCGAGGCGCTGCACGACTATCTGCGGAGACCGTGGCCTGGTTTCAGCTGGCTGATCCTCATGAAAATTGGGGGCGGCTGCAAACATGGAGTTGGGGGACCCCCCCACACCTCGCCGTAAAAGAAGGGAATGACCGTTTTTTTTTGTGTCTTAAGACTTCCATAGCTGTCACTGAGGTGTTATAGGTTCTTTTGAGTTCTGTCACTCTGGCTGTTGCGCTTTGAGTCGTTATGCCACCAAATCGGGCCATGTTCATTCTCGTATAAATTGAGGCTCAGCCGGCACGTGGAGTGGTCGCTGTTCGGCAGCTACGCGACTGAATGCCCAACCTTGGAATTCTGGGGAACCAGCTGCAGGAAATACAGGCTCGACTCTGCCGCGCTTTTGTGACGAGGGCTGCACTCGCACTTCCGGCAAATTGCATTGAATGGAATGCTAAAATCGGATATCTCCGGAGGACCGACCCATTCAGAGCCAGTTGCCAGTAGGGAAATGATCTATGTTCGGGGGTGCTTCAACCAGGCTCGGGATGAATCGGAAGTCAAACATGAATCCGATCATTGACTCCAAACACATTACCGGCCCAGGCTGCCCAAGCTAATACAGTATAAGTATTTGGTACAGGGCGTGACCAAGCATTAAACTTTAGAGCCTCCGGCTCAGTCCGCCGACATTGTCCTCTCCCTTTTCTCCTTCTTCCTCTCTTCCTTGTCTCCCTCGTGTGTTCTGTCGTCCTCTCTCCCTCCCTCTGCTCCCATCCTCCCCATCCCCCCAAGCCTCTCTCTCCCCACTCTCCCTCTCTCGTATGTATGCATGCATGTACATATGTATGTATGTATGTATGTATGTATGTATGTATGTATGTATGTATGTATGTATGTATGTATGTATGTATGTATGTATGTATGTATGTATGTATGTATGTATGTATGTATGTATGTATGTTATGTATGTATGTATGTATGTATGTATGTATGTATGTATGTATGTATGTAATGTATGTATGTATGTATGTATGTATGTATGTATGTATGTATGTATATGTAATGTATGTATGTATGTATGTATGTAATGTATGTAATGTAATGTAATGTAATGTAATGTAATGTAATGTAATGTAATGTAATGTAATGTAATGTAATGTATGTATGTATGTATGTATGTATGTATGTATGTATGTATGTATGTATGTATGTATGTATGTATGTATGTATGTATGTATGTATGTATGTATGTATGTATGTATGTATGTATGTATGATGTATGTAATGTATGTATGTATGTATGTATGTATGTATGTATGTATGTATGTATGTATGTATGTATGTATGTATGTAATGTATGTATGTATGTATGTATGTATGTATGTATGTATGTATGTATGTATGTATGTATGTATGTATGTAGGTATGTGTGTATGTATGTATGTATGTATGTATGTATGTATGTATGTATGTATGTATGTATGTATGTATGTATGTATGTATGTATGTATGTATGTATGTATGTATGTATGTATGTATGTATGTATGTATGTATGTATGTATGTATGTATGTATGTATGTGTGTATGTATGTCTGTATGTATGTATGTATGTATGTATGTATGTATGTATGTATGTATGTATGTATGTATGTATGTATGTATGTATGTATGTATGTATGTATGTATGTGTGTGTGTATGTATGTTTGTAATGTAATGTAATGTAATGTAATGTAATGTAATGTAATGTAATGTAATGTAATGTAATGTAATGTAATGTATGGTATGTATGTAATGTATGTATGTATGTATGTATGTATGTATGTATGTATGTATGTATGTATGTATGTATGTATGTATGTATGTATGTATGTATGTATGTATATGTCTGTATGTATATGTCTGTATGTATGTATGTATGTATGTATGTGTGTATGTATATATGTATGTATGTATGTATGTATGTATGTATGTATATTTCTGTATGTATGTATGTATGTATGTATGTATGTATGTATGTAT